GATAAAATATGACCGTTAATATAGCTATCGTACCATCGAATTTTACCGAAGTGACTGTAATATGGTATTACGGGTGATTGCAGGTCAAAAGACATTTTACCGAACAATTTTGCCATTGGTCCATGCCTTCAAAATGGGAAAGCTTTATTTTCAAAGTTTTTAACACATTTTCCCAGGCTGGCGTACAAATATACAGAAAATTGCTAATATAGGTGTATGCTTTGACACGGTTGTTTTAAGTGATTATAATATGACAATTTGTGTTCTTGAAGGGTGAATTATTTCTTTTCAGAAAATATTCAATAAATGTCCATGTTAGGCCATATCCCCTTTATAAAGGTTCCAATCCATTTCGGTATTTTGCAGGTCTTATTCGAATTTTCCATCGAAGTGGTTGTTATTTGGCATTTCGTATTCCTGAATGGTTTATAATATCATGGGCGAACAATTTCGATTTATTTGTAAATCTATCTATTGAAATTGCCGCCATATTAGAAAGGATCCGATTTTCGGTATTTTGAAAGGATTAACTCCAATATAACTATAATTTTGTATAGCGGATTTCAGAGGTATAAGAAGATACTTTCCAGAAAATGTTCAATATAGGTTCATCATTTTACATGGCTAACATACAAAGTTCTCTACAAAGTATATATATTCTTGATCAGAATAAAATTCTATGTAGATTTACGCATGTCCGTCTGTCTGTCCGTCAAGTGAAATCTCGATAGAGATCCCAATATTTAAGATTCAGCTCTGAAATGTTGCACAGACTTCGCTAGCACTCCTAGGATGCCTGGTATTTGCAAATGGGATATATCGGGTCATGTATTTGTTTAGCCCCGTTTAGCGGTACTCCCCAATATTCGGTATTTTGAGGGTTTTGGACAAATTTTCTAACCGAATTGGCTGTAATTAGATATTTTGGGTTCTCATTGAATAACACATAATCGTCCTAAAAATTTTTAATATTGACCCAAGTTTCATGGTTGCCCCCATATAACCCCCAATATTCGGTATTTTGCGAATTTTAGACAGGTTTTCCAACCGAATTGGCTGTAATTTAGTATTTTGGGTTATCATTGGCCAATGTCCGTACCAAAAATTAATTAATATTGACCTAAGTTTCAGGGTAGCTCCCATATAAATGTCCCGCCCAAAAAAAAAAAAAAAAAAAATCCGGTATTTTGCGGATTTTAGACACGTTTTCCAACCGAATTGGCTGTAATTTGGTATTTTGGGTTCTTATTGAATGTCACATATCCATACCAAAAACTATTAATATTGACCCAAGTTTCAGGGTAGCCCCCATATAACGCTACACCTCAATATTCGGTATTTTACGAATTTTAGACACGTTTTCCAACCGAATTTAGATATAAACCAGTGAGCGGAACAGTATAGTCGGACGGGGCCGACCTACCCTACACAACTTCCATGAACATCTAACTTTCTGTGGCACCACATTCTGAGCTTGGACAATATTTGGCGATATTTGCACACTTTTGACCCACTAGAGGTCAACAAATATTACTTCTATTCTTGTCCAGATTCCCTTCAATGTAGTAATTTTTCACACAAAAGTCAGGTTCCATTTGACCCGCTAAATATTGACCGATCTTTATCAAAACAGGCATGCTTATCCTTTGGCCCGATCCTTCCCCTTCGCCATGCAAAAATTCACGGCGTTTGGGCCATAATTGCGGCCTCTGGAGCGACCAGAAAAACCAACAAAAATAAAGTTTTTGGTCCATTTCATCTTCTAAATATTAACCGATTTTTTCCAAAAACAATAGGGGTCTTCATTGGCCACAACCCATCTACATGCAAAATTTCGTGAAGATTGGTCCATAACTGTGGGCTGTATCGTGTTTACAAATTATAATGGACGGACCGGTATACTTAAAGGTGGGTCTAGGACCAATATTTCGCGGTGTTCAAACTTTTGGGGCTGCACAAAGCTATAAGGTAAATGGGGCACCAAAGTCCCTATCCCTATTTCGTCCGATTTTAAGTAAATTGTACACTAAAGAACCATAGCTAGGCCGATTGACACATCGTAATATAAATTAATCTCTTGCAAGTTTCCTTGAAATCGGTTCAGATTTAGATATAGCATAGCTTCGACCTACTCATGTTGATTGTATACCAAATAACCAATGGGCGCCTGATTCATATTACATTTTAAACAGTGAAGTATACGAAATAGCGTGTGTAATGTTTGTTTTAAATATATTTACAAAATTAAGAATAGGTTGCCGATTGGCATGTGTTGGGATTGATGTCAGTCGGTTTCCTTATAGATAAAGATCCCATATTTAAGTTCGTTCAATTTCATGTCAATGTTCTTTCGAAAAGGTGACGTCTGTTAGGATACATATATAGAATATACCCACAGTGGTGAAGGATATCAGTTTTTTGGGCAAAAGGTCCATTATCCTTTCTCTGGCCTTTTTCCATTAGCTCGGAATACAGATCGCCACCGATGATCAAGTCCACTCTATCTGACTTGTTAAACAACGGATCTGACAATGTATAACTGTTCCATTCTTCTACATTGGCTTCGAATGATTCCCTGACAACATAGTTGTGTAGGGTATAACAATGAAATATAGGTAGGAGTGCTATGTCTACATCTCAAGGGATTCTCATATAAATCAGACGTACCAAATTTCATCTAATTGGGATAAAAATATGACCTGCATTAAAAAATACATGGACAGAATAGATTTGTCTACGAAAGTTATTCCATGGATATCCTCAAAATTAAATATGTTGGAAATACGCTTATTTTTAAAATTAAAGCCTCTTCAATTCCATAATTCTAGCAAAAAAATTAGTAAACCTATCAAACTGAGCTTAAACATATCAATTATAGATTTACACCCACTAAACTATAACTTTTTACATGATGATAAAAATCAATGATGGTTATTTCGAATAATTGCAAATGGGAATTTACAAACAGTACATATAACATACATATTCCATTGCCCAGGGTCTAGAAAAAAAAAACTCAAAACAAAACATATTTCCAATTACCCAATTATTTTCGCTAGACATGTTGTTTTTATGGCGGCCAATGCCGCTAAAAAACACATCCCCAAAACACCATGTAAAAAAATCATTTGAAAGTTCACATATGTTCGATTGCCTCTCACATACATTCACACACAAACAAACATACACCCATCCATACATATCTTTATATATATACAATTTAATAACACACATACAACATTATTAATTTACCGAAACAAAAAAAAAAAAAACAAAAACAGCCAACAAACAAATATTAAGAATAAATTCTATTTATTTCTCTTTTTTTTCATTTTATTTTCATGTTGTTGATATTGTTGTTGCTGTATTGACAATAATATATATTTGAATTTTTTTTTGCTTTCTTGAAACAAAAAATAAAAAAAAACAAACATACAAAATTCATATAAAACTGAAAATTCAATTTTTAAACAAACAAACAATACTACTGGTTAATGTGGTTATGGTTGGATTTATTCTATAAAACAAAACAAAAAACAAATGGTGGCTGCAAAAACGCTTGCAAATAAACAAAACAAAAAAACAAATTGTTAAACAAAACAAACAGGGCATCTTGGCGGCAGTGCTATCAACGGTACTTGGTACAAAAGATCCAGAACAAGTCAACTCAATGGCCAAACAAGCTGGAGAGGTAACGATTTATTAAAATTTATAAATATCTATATATGTAATAATATGTAGACAAACGAATATATATTATTTTTATTTTTTTTTTTTTTGTATTCAATTTAATTTAACAATTTTATATGCTACACTGAAAGAAATAATGATTTAGGGGGAAAGCCATAATAAATGAAACAAGTAAAAATTATGTTAAGTTCGGCCCGGCACAACATGAGAAGGACAATCAAAATATCTAAAATTAATTGGAGAGTTTTTTCCTAGGTTATGAATCGACCTTGAACATACCGGAAAATACATGAGAAATAGGTGATTGAAATTTTAATAGTGGGACTAACGTTATATGGGGTTAAAATGAGCGGAGCAGTATAGTCGGACGGAGCCGACCATACGTTACCCTACACAACTACCAGGGAACTAAAAATTTCTGCGGATGTTTATTCCGAACCTGGGCAATATTTCGTGATATTTGCCCGATTAGAGGTAAACAGCAGCTCGTCCTCACACTGACATATTTTACGAATTTTACGAGTATTCAGTACAGCTATTGTTCAGATTCCCTTCACCGTGGGTAGTGTTGTGATGTTCGGCTTTCATTTCTGGTCTAGAGATTGACTCGAATACCACACAAAAATCAAGTTTTCGCTCCACTTCATTCCAAAATTATTATCTGATCATCACCGAAAATTATAGGCGTTGTCCTTGACCATAACTATAACCTCATGGAAAATTTCAAAGCCATCAGCGCTTTAGTCCCGCTCTCTATAGTGATAATGGGTTACTAAATAATATACGAATACGGAGATACCTGTAAATATTTAGGTTTAACTCCCACATCCGAGCACATACAACAATATAAAAGGTATTAATTTAAAGGTCAACCACTCCTCTTGGATATAATATCAACTTCTCGGGTATATGTCCTTCTGGGGTATATGTCCTACGCTATAGAATACAAATGTTGTAATTTTTATCACAAAAGTCTGGGTCCGCTAAATATTGAACGATCTTTATCAAAACAGACATGCTCATTCTTTGGCCCGATACCCTTCTCTATGCAAAATTTCACGATGTTCGGGCCATTATTGCGGCCTCTGGAGGCGACCAGAAAAATCGACAAAAATTTAGTATTTGGTCCATTTCATCCCGAAAATATTAACCGATCTTTCCCAAAAACAATAGGGGTCTTCATTGGCCAGAACCCATCCTACATGTAAAATTTCGTGAAGATTGGTCCATAATTGTGGCCTGTATCGTGTTTACAAATTATAATGGACAGACGGACGGACGGACACACATGTCTAGATCGACTCAGCTAGCCGATATATGGCGATCGGTAAACTTAAAGGTAGGTCTAGGACCAATATTTCGCGGCGTTACAAACTTTTGGTGCTGCATAAAGCTATAATACCCTGACAACATAGTTATGTAGGGTATAAAAATTCCAGTCAAGTTGGTGGGATAACCTATCCAAAATCCCCAAAATACCGAATAATGAGGGGTCCCGTTATGTGGGGGCTACCCTGAAATTTTTTGGTACGGTTATGTGTTATACAATAAGAACCCAAAATACCAAACTTCAGGCTATTCGGTAGAAAAACGTGTCCAAATCCCTAGAATTCGGAATATGGGGGCTACCCTGAAAATTCGGTCCATACTAATAATTTTTGGTATGGATATGTGTTATTCAATGAGAACCCAAAATACCGTATTACAACAAATTCGGTTGGAAAACCTGTCCAAAATGGGAGCTACCTTTAAACTTGGTTCAATATTAATACTTTCTAGTACGAAGAATTTCTATACAATGAGAACACAAAATACAAATTACAGGCAATTCGTAGACCGTTGTAGGCCATTTGCAATACAAAACATCCTAGCAATACTATCAATTTCTGTGCAAAATTTCAGAGCTCTTTTTAGCGTGTTTTCAACTGACGGACAGTTTAAAAGTAAAAACATAGTTATGTTCGATCAGTTCGAAATTGTATTCCCTCCCTAAGGTGATGGGCATTAACATTTCCCAGCATGTTCAGATGAAATTCATTCAAAACCCCCAAGGACTCCAACCAATACACACAATTTAGTAGTGGGACAGGTTTGGTTCTAGGCAACAATAGATGGCAGCCCCATCACCTAGAGCAAGCTACCGTACACCAATCATCTACTGAGCTGGAATAAAAAACGGAAATACTTAACGAACACAAGGACTAATCGAATCAGAATGCACAAAAAACTTTTTAAATATGGACCAAGATCGAATATTTTTTGCAGAGCTGTTTTTCTCCCTCCAGGAAACTTGAATGTCAAACTACAGACACTGCAGTAGGAAAATACACTTCGGCAATGGGAGATGTGATGAAAACTGCATTAACATTTCCCAGCAGACTTTCAAATATTTTTAGATCCTCCTGCAGATGAAAATCATTCGAAACCCCCTGACATCCAATAGCTCACCTCGAGACAAAGGAAAATAATGCAACTAAATAAGCAAGAACCCCAGCCACTACACAAAATTCAGTATTAATTGTTTCTAGGCAACAATAGATGGCACCACATCACCTGGAACAAGATACAGCACACCAATCATCTACTGAGATGGAATAAAAAACGGAAATAATTAACGAACACAAGGACTAATCATATACAACTAGATCGAATATTTTCTGCAGAGCTGTTTTCCTCCAGGAAACTTGAATGCCAAGCTAAAGACACTGCAATAGGAAAATTAATTTCAGTATTGGGAATTGTGACGAGGCCTTTGTACGGGGGCTATGTTAGAACATGGACTAGTATTGAAAAATTGTCTTCCGATATGTTTTGCAACCTTCAAGAACTCGAAATGCCAAATTATTACCACTCCGTTTGGAAAATTTTCAAAATACCGAACGGATATAGCATATTTCCAATATATGCGTGTAGCAATGTATGTGCCAAATTTCAAAACTCTATACTAACCAGTGAGCGGAGCAGTATAGTCGGACGGGGCTGACCATATGATACCCTACACAACTTCCACGAAAATCTAACTTTCTGTGGTTCTATATTCTGTGCATGGGCAATATTTCGATATATTTTCACACTCTTGATCGATTAGAGGTCAACCAATATTACTAATATTCAGAACAACCCTTCTAATTTCTGGGCCATATTCCCTTCACCGCGAGTTGTCTTGCGATGTTAGGCTTTCAATTGTGCCGTATAGATCGACTCGAAATAATACAAAAAATTAAGTTCTCGGTCTAGTTCATCCCAAAATTATTATCTGATTATCAGCGGAAATTATAGGCGTTGGTCCTTGACCATACATGGATCCTCATGGAAAATTTCAAAGCGATCAGAGCTATATTTCCGCCCTCTAGTGTGATAATGGGTTATTAAAAATATCTGAATACGTAAGAACCTGTAAATATTTAAGTATAACTCCCACATCCAAGTACATACGACCATATAATTGGTATCAATTTAAAGGTCAACAACTCCTCTTGAATATACTCGGGTCAGGGGTAAATATATACGCTATATAATACAAATTTTGTAATTTTTCACACAAAAGCCGCTAAATATTGACCGATCTTTTTTCAAACAAGGCATGCTTATTCTTTGGCCCGATCCCCTACTCCATGTAAAATTTCACGATGTTCGGGCCATAATTGCGTCCTCTGGGGCGATCAGAAAAGCCGACAAAATTTTAGTATTTGGTCCATTTCATCCCCTAAATATTAACCGATTTTTACCAAAAACAATAGGGTCTTCATTGGCCAGAACCCATCCTTTATGCAAAATTTCGTGAAGATTGGTTCATAACTGTGGCCTGTATCGTGTTTACAAATTATAATGGACGGACGGACGAACGGACACACTTGTCTAGATCGACTCAGCTAGTCGAGAATATTTCGCGGCGTTACAAACTCTTGGGGCTGCACAAAGCTATAATACCCTGACAACATAGTTGTGTAGGGCATAAATATTGCAATTTAAACAGATAAATTTTATGCCACGCCATTTTAGACTCTGAAAGTCTATGCCAAATATCCTGACAATCGTTCCATCGTGTGGTGTAATGGCATATCTATACCTATTTCCGTGAAGATCTGATATTCTAAAGTAACACCTTCAAAGTATCACTATTTGGGCCGGGACCATTGCATGTGAAAATATGGACTTACATTGAAATATTTTGGGATTGGAAAAAGGTCTAGGCAATATTGAAAATTGATCGATACAGTTATAAGGGATAATCAAATATGGAAACCTTTTCAATATCAACATGTAAAGTCAATTTTTTTCGAACTCAATGGTAGTTTCAAATGCCATACGGATAAAAAGATGTAGATGACTAAGTCGACATTGAATTTTACACAGATGCAGAAATCCGTTTTTTATACAACGTCGAATATTATCCATCTTATGAAAAATATCGAATTTTAGTTCTAGTTTGGTAGTTGATTTATAGTTTTTCTTTCAGTGTGGCTATAAATACAAATCATACACAGAGACAAAAAACAACAACACTACTGTTTATATAAGCAGTTTTTGTTTTAAATTATACACTGTACAATTTCACATCTATTCGCACACTTGCTTTATTTTTTATTTATTTATGATTATTATTCGTTTCTATTACATTGCCCTTCTAACGCACCATACACAGAACACCATGCACACGCACACACACCAACACCAACACACTTCCACACATATACCAACTACCAAGAAAACACTTTAGAAATTTAAATTTGATTATCTTACGCATTTAGTTTCTTCTTGCTCTTCTTTCATTGCCCCCCCACTGTCAATATGTTAATTAGCTCGTCTACTTACTTCGTAATAGCAATAGTATAGAAGAAGTAGTGAAGTGCGACTTATGGAATGTACTTGAAATAATGTTCATCATTTTCTTCTTCTTGTTTTTCTCATTCTTTGCACATTCGTCTAGTTTATACAAATTGTTATGAATTTGTTGGATGCCTTGAAGACGTCGTTCTCACACCGTTCATTGTCGGCCAGGTCAATGGGTAAACGTGATTCCGTTAGCGATGCTGCCGTGGCCAGTATTTCCATGTTGAAGGGTTATGTGCGCACCTATCGCAATGCCGATAATAAGTGTTTGCAGCGTTATATGTGTGAGGCCAACACGGAATGTACCCGGGAGATTGGAGGCAGCAGCATTTTCTGTCAATTGGGATCGTAAGTTGTTGTTTTTTTGTTTATATTTATATACAAAAAAAAAAATAAATAAATAAAATAATAATAATATTTATTTTTTCCCCTTAGCTATGCCACCAGCTATCTATTGGACCGCACAAGTGATGGCAGTTTTGAACAAATCTATGATGCTGGCCGCAGAGGGCGTTCCGGCTTTGATTGCTCACAATTGTATTTGGAATGCAATGAAGTTTAAGTCACACACACTCACACCCACCCACACCACATTTAATTTAACGAATTACTCCTCCCCTTTTCCCTACTTTCCCCTCTATACGTCTACACTTTACCAACTAAGCTATTGAATTCTAGGACTGGTTAAATATTTTACAACTGTATTTATTTATTTTATTAATTATTTATTTATATAAATATTTATTAAACTCATTTCGAAAATATTTATTAAAAAAACAAAAACATCACCCAACTTTCTTTATTATTAAGAAATGTCCAATTATTTATGGTATTTTTTATTAATTTATTTTCTATCATCTAAGTATGTCTATGTCTATTTAGTGAAATAAGTATTTATGATGTCAATATGAGGACAACAAAAAATAATAAAAAAAATCCGTACATTTTCTTTAATTTAAATTCTATTTTATAAGTAATGAAACGAAAAAAAAATAAATGTTAAACAAGTATCTAACAGAGTTATGTTAAGAACATCACAATTTGAAACATGTTAACATAAGACTCATATTTTCGAAATAAATGTAAAATGAATAATTGAATGTGAATGTGGAGTTTTATTTCATTTTTGCATCCACAAAAATAAGCTTTGAGCTGAATGGTATTTTATAGTTGACAGTGTTATAAAGCTTTACATGTTTCATTGGTAGCTGAAGCTAAGATATATGTATGTATATACCACACTGTGGTACAGGGTATTATGTCTTTGTGTATATATTTGTAAATGGGCAAAAGGTATTGAGATACAGTGTACACCCATGGTTCCTTTTGAGAATATGCATAGAATCACTTTCTAAGATGATTTATGCATGCCCGGACGTCCGTCTGTCTGTCCATGTTAAATTGTAAACAAAGTACAGGTCGCATTTATAATCCGAATTGGATGCAATTTGGCATAGGTCACTTATTTGGCCCAAGGACGAACCCTATTGAAATTGGGAAAAATCAGTTCAGATTTAGATATAGCTCCCATATGTATTATCGTCCGATTTAATGTAAACGGTCCCTACATATCTTTCGATTTGCATGAAATTTGGTACAGGGTAATGAATTAGGTCTAGAATGATGTGTGTTACATTTCCTGAAAATTGGTTCAGATTTGGATGTAGCTCCCGTATATATTTTCGTCCGATTTAAGGTAAATGGTGTACCAAAGTCCATATCTATCTTTCGATTTGCACGAAATTTGACACAGCGTGATGAATTGGGTCTAGAATGATGTGTGTCAAGTTTTGTGAAAATCGGTTCAGATTTGGATATAGCTCCCGTATATATTTTCGTCCAATTTAAGATAAATGGTGTACCAACGACCCTATATATCTTTCGATTTGCACAAAATTTGGTACAGGGTAATGAATTAGGTATAGAATGATGTGCGTCAAGTTTCGTGAAAATCGGTCCATATTTAAATATAGCTCCCATATATATTTTCGTCCGATTTAAAGTAAATGGTATACCAAAGTCCCTATATATCTTTCGATTTGCACGAAATTTGGCACAGCGTAGTGAATTAGGGCTAGAATCGTGTGTGTCAAGTTTCCTGAAAATTGGTTCAGATTTGGATATAGCTCCCATATATATTTTCGTCCGATTTAAGGTAAATGGTGTACCAAAGTCCCTATATATCTTTCGGTTGTCACGAAATTTGGCACAGCGTGATGAATTAGGTCTAGAATGATGTGTGTCAAGTTTCGTGAAAATCGGTTCAGATTTGGATATAGCTCCCATATATATTTTCGTCCGATTTAAGGTAAATGGTATACCAAAGTCCCTATATATCTTTCGATTTGCACGAAATTTGGCACAGCGTAGTGAATTAGGGCTAGAATCGTGTGTGTCAAGTTTCCTGAAAATTGGTTCAGATTTGGATATAGCTCCCATATATATTTTCGTCCGATTTAAGGTAAATGGTGTACCAACGTCCCTATATATCTTTCGATTTGCACGAAATTTGGCATAGCGTACTGAATAAAGTCTAGCATGGGGAAAGTTTTGTTGAAATCGGTTCAAATTTGGATATAACTGTCACATATATATTTTCTAGGGATATTAAGTAAATGATGCACCAAGAACTCGAAATGTGGCTGATATGCACAAAACATACTGAAATTAGTATAACCTAACCTGCGACAAGTTTCGATGAAATCGGTTTAGATTTCGATATAGCTTTTATGTATATTTTCGTCCGATTTCAAGTAAATGGTGCACCAACTCCTCAAGTTTATCAGATATTTATCTAAATAATCACGGGTGTTCGAGTGATATTTATATTAAATTAAAATTTTGCCCCATTTTAAGAAGCAACTCTATATCTGTACAAATGAACAATTTAGTATAGGTTGCAGAATGACATGTTTATGGATCGAATTTAATTTTACTCGTCCTTTAAAAATGAAACGTCTGTTAGAATTCATCTATTGAATATATCCAAAGTGGTGTAGGGTATCATATAGTCGGCCCCGTCCGACTTTACTACTTTCCTTACTGGTTTCGTCTGATTTAATGTAAATGGTGCAAAAAATTCTCAAATTTTTTTCCGATTGTGACAAAATTTTGCACAGTGTATTGGATTAAGTACAGATTGATGTATGTGATGTTGTATAGATATAGCTTTGATATATATTTGTTCGATTTTATGTAAACGGTACTAAAAAGCCCTTTATATTTCATTCGGTTTCATGAAATTTTGCATAGCGTGTTAAATTGAGTCTAGAATGAGGTGTCCTAAGTTTCACGATATTCGGTTCAGAGTTAGATATAGGTCCCATATATCTATATGTTGTCTGATTTTATGTAATTTTTGACTAAACCCTCAATATTTGTCCGAATAGGACGAAATTTGGAATACCGTACTGTATTGAGTCTTAAGTGATGAGTGTTCAGTTTTGTTGAAATCTGTTCAGATTTAGGTACAGTTCTCCGATTTCATTTATTTGGTGCACCATGTAGAGGTGCTTATTTAGAGACTATATATTTAATTTTGTACGATTTTACGCCAGAGGTCATCCACCGATGCTACGTTTATTCTATCGATACACATAGCTAACTATACTTAAAAATAAGATTCTTAGGATCATCTCTTGTGTAAACCAAAAACCAGTAAGTAAAGTTTAAAAGTCGGACGGGCCGATTATATTATGCCCCTCACTACATTGGGTACATATAAGAAAAGCTAATATGTACAATATCATGTAGATAGAACAGACGTATCATCTATGGAGGACCATTGAAATGGAATCGGGCGAAATTAAATTTGTGATCTACATAGTTAATATATATGGAAGCTATGGAAGCGAACAAACATAGGCTCCTCGGTCACAACTTAACACTAGACTCTAGACTCGTTTCAATATGCTTAACATAATATCATGCCAATGGAACAGGATCTATGCATAATTAACATAAGATCGACTAAGGAATATATGGGAGCTACATTTAAATTTGAACCGATTTCAATTAAACTTTACAGTCATCAAACCTTGACCTTTTTCAGTACTCTGTGCAAAATTTTGTCTCAATCGGACAAATATTGGGTGTTTGGTGCACTATTTACATAAAATCGGACGAAAATATATGTGAGAGCTATATCTAAAATGAAACCGATTTCCACCAAACTTCACAGGCAATAAACTGGACCAAAGTCAGTACTCTACGCAAAAATTTGTCTCAATCGGACAAATATTATGGGTTTGGTGCACAATTTACATAAAATCGGACGAAACTATGTATAAATCTAAATCTGTACCGATATGCATAAAATTTCGCATACGTTATTTAAATTTTGTCTCAATCAGACTAATATTGGGAGATAGGTGCACCATTTACATCAAATCGGACGATACTTTATATGGGAGCTATATCTAAAGAACCGATTTACACAGAACGTCACAGACATTAAGCTGAACCAAATTCAGTACGCTGTGCAAAATTTTGTGAGTACGGATATGTGTTATTCAATGAGAACACAAAGCACCAAATTACATTTCGTGAAAAACGTGTCAAAAATTCCTAGAACATTGAGTACTGTAAGTACCGTTATATGGTTATACCCTGAATATTGGATCAACATTAATAATTTTTGGTAGGTTATTCAATGAGAACCCAAAATACCAAATTGCCAAAATCCCCAAAATACCGAATATTGTGGGGAACTGTTATATGGGGGCTATACCAAAACGTTGATCGATATACCCCATTTGCAATGCCAAACATCCTAGCAATATTTGTGCAGAATTTCAGAGCTTTATCATAAATATTCAATTGGTCATTCCTCTTTTCAACACCCCGAAATATTCACCTGAGGCCACACAATATATATATATATATATATATATTCTTGATCAGAATAAAATTCGATATCGATTTATGCATGTTCGTCCCCATATCCTAGGATATTTGGTATTGAAAGGGGTATAAATAGTTTGGAATAGCTTACATATAACGCTAAACCCCAAAATATTCGGTATTTTTGGGATATTTGGCATGTTTTTCAACCGAATTGTCTGTAATTGGTATTACCAGTTCTCATTATGGGACACATTAGGCACTTTTTAAAAGCTCAATATCTCAGTACTTATTCACCGCACTTTAAATAGCCGAGAAACCCCTAAAAATTAATGTCTATAGTTTTTTTTAATTTTTTCTATCAATGTAGTAGTAATTTAGAATTTTGAATTCAAATTCGCATTTTGAATTCAAATTCGCATTTTCGTCAGTGACTTTGAATTCAAATTGGGTGTTAAAAAAGTTTACCATTCAAAAAATTTCCATATTGAGCATTTTATAGAATAGCCCACAATATAACCATAACTCTCATTGTTCGGTATTTTGTGGAGATTGTTCATGTCTTTTACAGTAAAATTTTCCATTAAAAAATCTCAATATTGGATACTCTTTATTGTAACAACCATATAACCATATCCCTCCAAATTTCGGTATTTTGATGATGTTAGACACGTTTTCAACTGAATTGGCTTCAATTTGATATTTTAGATTTTCATTGGGTACAAAATATCCATACCAAAAA